CGACGTGGCCCCCTTGGGGCAGCGCAGTCCCCGACGAGGCGGGACGAAATTCCACACTCCCGGTGGACCCCGAGGGGCCGCGACTCTTCTGGAAGGGCGGCAGCGCGGGCGCCGCTGGAGGGACGAATTCCTCTGCGCGGGAAGGATGCGCGACGGAGTCCCCGGAAGAGCCCGGGGGAGGTACTGTACGCGGGGGCACGGAGGCCCCCGAGAGCGGCAGAAGCGCGGCGAGCCCGACGGAAGGGCCCCCAGACGAAGGACGCGCCTCGGGAAGCGAAGACATGAGGGCGACGACGCGGTAAGCAGCGCGTGAGTGGCAACGACGGGGAAAACCTGCGGCAGCGGGTGAGGAGGGGTGGATGACGATGCAAAACCAGGGGGCACGGAGTACGGAGGGGACGTAAGGGGGGCAAGGTCGATCGGTGGACAGCGCCGAAGACAACGCCGGATCAAAGGGGAACAGGTATTGAAAATGTGCGACAACATGCTGTTATCTGGAAAGTGCAAAATCGAGCGACACGTGTACATGACTCGACGGTCCGGACCCTCACCCCATATCACGACATGACACGTGTAAAGTCTCAGATTTTGGGGTTCTGGGGACGAAAGTGGACTTTTGGAGGGTTATGCAAATTTGCATAAATGCCGAAAATTTGCATTTGGCCCGAACCGTTTTCGGGCTACACAGGCAATACTGGAAATCTATTGGGTGTCGGTTCGAATGCTGCAGTTCTATTGGCCTGCTATTGTCCACTTATATGCAGTCATGCTGGTGATATATCTTGAATGATCGGTATACGTTTTAATTACATCATTTCGAGGGTTTCAAGTTGTTCACGATGGTTGTAATGGGTAATTACGGGTGGCCTTGGCGCTGGACATTTGTGTGCGGTGTACACATGTACGCATCGCCAGGTTGCTGCGTGTACGTACACTTGTACACGTCGCCTGCATACGGTCCGGCGCGTGTCCGAGTACAGTACATGTGAATTAAAAGTACAACAAGTATTTCTCACAAGAGACCTGTACTTACGTGAGTATTCAGTGTACGCGTCACGCTGTATGCGACCCTTGCATCAGCATGCGCCGTTGTACTACACTCTCGTCAGCATGCGACGTCGTACTGTGCTCTCGCTATGGTGCGCCGTTGGATGCAAGTTGATGACAGTATTCGTGTGATTCACATCGGATATCACGTGAGATGTGTAGAAAGTCTGGATGCACATTGTTGCTACCCGTCATAGTTGTCTGGCAGTGTGTACCGAAATTAGTAAGGTACGAAACAAGGGCATGTATGGGGACTGAGATATGACAGGACTTTGCGTTTTTGGAAATAGAGAGATGCCAAGTTGTTCCTTGCGCAAGAATATATTCTGTCATGTGTGGATGCAGATTAGTAAGGTGTGAAACGATTGCATGCATAGGGCCATGGTTTACAGTCACTCGAAATATGTAGAAACTGTTGTGCACTGATAGTCAATAGTCAATTCGTAAGGTGGAAATAGAACAGTGTGGACGGGCCAGAAGAGGACCGCGCTTGGTCGCGCATATGGTGAGTACGGATTACCAGGTGCCAAAGTAATGGGATAGTGTAACACTCAAAGTGTATAAGTATCGCCGAAAGACGGCTCCAAGTAAACCTCCGTACCAACTCCTTCACTCACACACATCAACCTGCCCTCCTTTCCCTTGCCCGTCCGAACCTACCATTAACAGGACCAAGGCTCGGGAAGCGACCGGGTCGGACATGGCTCTCTCACTCCTCAAGGGTGAACGCGGACGTTCACTCTTGAGGAGGGGGCCGTGTGGCATAACGGCGGTTCGCGATTAGATTTAGATCAGATCAATACGAACCGCACACGCGCACACGTGTACCCCCGCGTGTACGGAGGACACGCGACCACACGCGTACACGTGTAGGAGGTGCGTACCAGCGCGCGCACAGTACGCGTCTCACACGTGTGCTGTCAGCCCCGACGTCTGACAGCATTACAGCGCGGGACGACCTGCGCTACAGTAAGTTACTACAGCATACCGGTACTGTAGTATTATGATAGACGCATTGTATACATTAAATACGGGCGCGACCGGCGGCCGGCGGGAAGGGGACAAGCACGGACTTGTCCACGACCTACCGCCTAGGTCCGTCTTCCAGCTGAACTAACGAGCGCGATCCGCCTTCGCGCGCGTTAACCGGGACAAAGCGGGTAGGGGACAGCCGCGTACGCGAGCGAGCCTAGATCCGCCTCCGCCCGTCGGCGCTGGTACGTTACCCAGCGCCGCTCCGCGGCGTCGAGGCGTAGATCGGCCCGCGCGTACGCTCGTCCCCGACCGTCCCGCTCTACCACGCTACCAGGGCCCGCTTCCCTGTCCCGTTAGCTGTGTGTTCTCCCCGTCTTCTCGCCCCTCGTACGGGGCCTACGTCGAGCTAAGTATACACCCCTCTCCGTTGGGGGGTGTTTTACTACAATGATGTGGAAGAGTTTTATACCGATTCACTTCGAGTCGCTAACTTCTGGCCACTACTTATACACTTTTGCAATCTTCTAGATCTCTACTACCAAACACTACGACACATATACTACAAATGTATTGGTTCTAACACATAAGCCCGTCTTGCTACTCAGCCATCCTGGCGATGGCCCAACAAACAGAACAGAAAACCGCCTTACGAATTACCACTGTCATGACGGAGAAATTAGTAAGGCAAATACAACAAAGCACAGCAAAGCACAAATTCCCTTACTATTCAAAATCCAGCGTGGCACAAATTCGTAAGGCACGTTTACAGCTCACACGTTGCCTTACGAATTCAAATCAATCCTGCAAGGACTGTTTACAGCGCACACGTTGCCTTACGAATCCGAATCTCTCGTGAGGTCCCGTCCACTGTCAATTTCAACAATGCTCGTTTTGCCATACGAATTCAAAACTCGCGCAACGGTATCTTAGGGCCGTTCCTAACGAAGAGTTCGGTGTGCTAGCACGCAAGCACCCTGACATTTGGCATGAATAGATTGGTTGAACGGGAGTAAAAGCATTTCCAATAATTTTTCAACCAATACATTCATGCCAAGTTTCAAGGTGCTTGCATGGTAGCACACCGAACTCTTCGTTAGGAACGGCCCTTAGTGTCCTGCTGTACCCGTGCTCCACTCCACGGACGGTGTAAACCTTTGGCACGTGCCAGGCACCCGCCACTAAAGTTCAACACTTTGTCCGCAAGGCTGCAGGCGTACTGTACGCGTCCTACAGTGTAATGATGCCATGTATCCAGGTCATACACGTGTCAGGCCAAGAAAATGAAACATGCTCAGAATGTACTCTAGGATGCAACCGTGTACATATTTCACACGTGTACACGTTGAGAACCAAACTTGCTCCTGAAGTACTGTAAAGTGCAAAAATGTACAGAAATGACACTTGTACACGTTGAACCCCCACGTGTTCTACTCGTCACACGGAGTGTTTGGGCGTTTCCACGTGTCATACCTGTCATTGTGTTTCATCCGTGTCAGCATGTGGTCGTAAAATTACAACACTCCCCCTCGATCACATGCTTTGACCAGAAGTAGCCTTTGCAAGCCCTAGAAGTTCTACAAACTTCTGGAACAGAATTCGCCCAAGTGCTTTCGTCAAGATATCTGCAGGCATGGAAGTGGTCGGGCAATGAGACAAACATACGACATTTCTCTTAATTGCATATCGTACATAGTGGTATTTCACATCAACATGTTTGTTACGACGGTTGATCGATTCATTCTGTGCAAACGAAATCGTCCCTGCATTGTCACACCCCATCATAATCGTGGGATCAGAATCAAGTCCGAGGACATCAGCAACCACTTGACTCAACCAAGTCGCCTGCTTACACGCTTCACATAGTGCGATGTACTCAGCTTCACGCCTTGAAGCTGAGTACATTGCACTAGTCGCGACCACAGTTTGTTTTCGGGAACTCCAACTGATCGCTCCACCGCAGAACTTGAAAACATATCCGCTAGTCGACTTGCGAGAGTCTGAACAACCGGCCCCAGTCAGCATCACTGAAGCCGAACAACTCCGGCGATTTGGATTTATTGTCAACCACGATTCCTAAGTTTCGATGCCCTTGCACGTATCGCATTACTCGTTTTTACACCTACCCAGTGTGACTCACATGGGTTGGCAGAATGTTGAGAAAGCTTTCCAATCGCATATGCCAAGTCTGGACGAGTGCCAACCATCAAGTACATAAGGCAGCCCACTGCCTCACGATACGGTGCATTTGTTTCGAAGTCTTTTTCGGTAGAAATCGTGTTTGTGTGACCTTGTTCCATTGGAGTCAGAGAGGGGTTACAAGTTGACATTCGGAATCGCTCAAGCACATTTGATGCATACTTAGCTTGAGTGAGACTCAAAGCCTTGGCAGTGCGATCTCTTTGAATCTCAAGACCAATGCAGACTTTTGCTTCACCAAGGTCTTTCATCTCAAACCGTTTGTGGAGCTCCCCCTTCATTAATTTGATGGCATTGATATCACTACCAGCGAGTAACAAGTCATCGACATAAAGTGCAATCATCATGATAGTGTTACGAATGCGTTTAATGTAGAGACACGCATCACTACGCGAAGTCTCCAATCCCAATTCACCAATTAGGAAATCATCTACGTTGTCATGCCATTGACGATGTGCTTGTTTAAGACCGGAAAAAGGATTCAAAAGTTTACACACGTGATCACTTTTGCTTTTGTAAATGCACCCTTCGGGTTGCTCCATGTAGATGTCTTCATCCAAGTCGCTGTTCAAAAACGCCGTCACGACATCCATCTGATGAAGTTCGAGGTCGTAATGAGCAACTAAGGCAAGAAGTAGACGAATAGTGGTAAACTTTATGAGAGGGGCATATGTCTCAGTATAGTCAAGACCTTACTTGCTGGAATCCACGAGCAACAAGTCTGGCTTTTGCACTTTCAACTATATTCCATTTGCATCAGGCAGCTGCTTGACCTTGAATACTCATCGAGATGTGAAGATGTTTGACGCCTCAGATCGAGGAACAAGTTTCCAAGTCCGATTCTTGGTCTGCGAGGAAAGTTCTTTGTCAATGCCGGTTTGCCAAAATGCAGCTCTAGGACCGTTGGTTGCCTGCTTGAAAGTCTTGGAACCTTCAATAGCGATATGCGCATGTGAAAGAAGGGCAGCTGCAAAGTTGCTCCTCCACCATGATGCGGGAGGTCTGCTGACTCGAGACGATCTTCGTACAGCTGGAGTCGGAGTTGGAGCGGTGACATTCGGAGTTTCGACGGGAGGAGGTACATCATCTTCATCATCATCATTCTCACTTACAGATCGAGCGCCATCGTTTTCAAGAACCTCCTCCGAAACTTCACCCTTTTCAGAACCAACCTCATCCATATTTGGGGTATCGCCTTCATTCTCATTGTCGCCATCGAGCAATACGACGTCATCATCAGAGTTTGTTGAATCACTTTCATGTGCAGGAATGTCATGCATCCCACATGTCGATTCATCAAACTTGACATCCCGTGACACAACAATTTTATTCAACTCTCCGTCCCAAAGTTTGTATGCCCTACTGCATTGCGAGTACCCAAGAAACATCGCCTCACGCGCTCGCAAGTCAAGCTTACGGAGCTCTAATTTTGGTAATGTATACCAACACTTTGACCCAAATACTCGCAAATGTCCAACGTTTGGAGTGGAATTCATCCAAATGTGGTGCGGGGTTGTATTAACGGGCAAAGCGCGTGAAGTAACTCGATTGCGTACATATATCGAAGTGGCAAGAGCCTCGGCCCAGAATCGCTTACTGACCTGTTTATGAGAAAGCATAGAGCGGACAAAATCAATCAAAGTTCGATTTAAACGTTCAGCAACACCCTTTTGTTCAGGGTTGTACGCCGTTGTGAGTTGGTGCTGCGTACCGTTTAATTCTAAATGCGCCTTGCTTTCCTTCGACAAGTACTCTCCCTCTCGATCAGTGCGAAGCACCTTTACTTTGCGACCAGTGTGGGTTTGGGCCAACTTTTCATACAACTTGCATTTTGCAAACGCCTCAGATTTATTTCTCATCGTGTACACAACTACCCAGGTTGAGTGATCATCTACAAATGTAATGAAGTATCTCGAGCTACCAACTGACTGTACTTCGAGTGGACCGCAGACGTCAGAATGTACCAAGTCAAGACAGTTCTGTGCTCGAGACGATGATCGCTGTTTCGGGATTACTGATCGCGTTGCTTTCCCAAACACGCACGCAGGACAAATGAAAGAGTGATTGTCAGACGTCGGATATATTGCAGTGATCACATCGCTTTGACGAACGTTGATGCCACTTACTACATTATTGTGAATCATTGATGCGATTCCTTGTACATTAACATGGGCCATGCGTTCATGTAGCGTCTGAAGAGTAACTACGTGAGCAGAGAGAGTTTCATTCATCACGTCAAGTAAGTACAAATCTCCAACTTGATTCGCTGTAGCGACCAAAGTTGGTCCTGCGGTAATGATGCATTTGTCTTTTTCAAATGACACTTGCAATCCCTTTGAGACCATTTGGCTAACAGATAGTAGCTAGTATCCAAAATCAGGGACATGCAAAACGTTTGACAATTTGCAAAGGATGTGGAGTACCGTTGACGTTCAACATGAATTCAACCTCACCGTGACCAGCGACATTAGCTCTCGCCTCTGTGCCCATCTTGACTGATCCAGATTGCATCTGTTCTTAAGAAACGAATAGAGAACGATCAAATGTGATGTAGGCAATGAAACCGGAATCCACAAGCCACCCCGAGTTTGCTGTTTTGCTTTCTGAAGAAGAAGTGGAAAGCAGGCACGTAAAATCACTCTCAGCAAAGACAGCAGTGGAATTCTCATCCCGAGAAACAAATGCACTTGACTTCAAGCCAGTGTTGCGTGACCGAAACCCATCTGGCGGTGCAGGTCGGCGCCCACTCACGTTCTTGTCCCAGCAACGCGCTGCAGTATGCCCATGTCTATTGCAATTCGTACATTTCATATCGCGTCGAATAGGCACACGATTGACAAGTGCAGGTGCATGTGGTGATGAAGCAGAAGCGGTCTTCATGCTTTCTCGTTGTTCTTCTTGCAGCAGACGACTCTTCACAAACTCGAGTCCAAACACTTTATCTTCATTGCCAAGTGCGTCAAGAGCAACAATCGAGTTATCGAATCGTGGAGGCAAGCCATTCGCTGTGTTGAATAACACAGCCATTGCAATTTCTTTATCGTCAATCTCAAAACTCATTGACTGCTAATCTGGCAGCGAGTTGCTTCACACGATTGATGAACACGAGCACTTTCTCGGATGGGAGCATGGATACAGTGTAAAAATCGCGACGGGCGGCCAGTTTGTTGAGCAAAGTATGACGCTCAAACACATTCAGAACTGCCTCCCATGTCTCTTTCGCACTGCTACACCCTCGCACATGTTGCAAGTAGTCATCAGAAAGCGTGAGTCCGATGACTGCCTTTGCTTTTGCATCACCACGAATGCACTTTCTCCGGTCATCTGACGTCGTATTCTCCGGTATATCATTAAAAACGTATTGATAGACATCTCGGAGAGCTAGCAGTAGCTGGATTTTCTGCTCCAGATGTAAAAGTTAGATGCGGTCAGCTTCTCGATTCTGACCGATCCAGAGTTTTGGTCATCTATTTCGCCGAATGGATGTACCCTTCGAGTATACAATGTTGAAATAGTTTGCGCGCTCAAGGGGACACCAAGAAGCCAGCGCCTGTGGCCTAGTGGTTAACGAATTTTTGCGGCAAATTTTTCAGACCTCGATTTTAACATCAGGTTATGGGCCCAGATTTACGCTACCATTCGTGAGGTCGATTCTCACCGGGTGCCCTTGGGCGGCGCAATGTTTGTTTGTTTGTGTCACACTTGGGAACGTACCTGACTGTGTGTTGTGCAGTGACCCACGCCGTGTGTTTGGCGTCCCTTGGTCGAGGGGGAGTGTTGAAATAGTAAGCGCGCCCAAGGGGACACCAAGAAGCCAGCGCCCGTGGCCTAGTGGTTAACGAATTTTTGCGGCAAATTTTTAAGACCTCGATTTTAACATCATACAAGGACTTCTGTTTCGGGATCCCAAGCCGTTAGCCGATAGTCAACACAATGGGAAGCCCACCCGTATAAGAAGTTTGTAGCGATTATTCGGAAACGTTCGTGGTGCTTGTTCCCGGCGGAATGGAACAAGCGTATTCTTCTTAAAATACCTTAGGGCGCTACCACTATATGTCGGCCAGTGCGGGTCTTTCGACTGCAAACTAAATCAAACGTGACACGAGTAAGCACAGCGACTTTGCGTGTAGACGAACGAGGACTTTTGGTCACTACCGCGAACGGTCCCTGCAATCGAAATCGGCTTGTCCAAACTTGATACGGTACTGCCTCAGAGAGGTTTCCCACAACGCCAGAATGAAACTGCCTTCGTCGTACTCGTATGATTTGTTCACAATCACGCCTAGGGCAACCTCTTCCGTGCGAACTTAATCAAGGTACGCGACCTTATACAAGTATAGTGAGAAGTTCAGTGTTTAGGCACGTAATCTCTTCACCCAAGGGACCGAAGTCGCACCTATAGGGCTAATACCGAGAGCGTTACCCACACCGCCGACGCACCTCCCGAAGGCAGAGTGCGGATCGTCTAGATCAGTACATTGTGATCCTCCCGGAGGATCAGTGCTTCGTCTCTCGACGATTCTTGGTCGGACCCTCGCTCAAGTCAGATTTCCAATGGCACAAGCCTTTCGCCAAGAGCGAGGGTATCGATAGCTACGACGATCACCGGCGCGATCGAAGGGCAGTCGTCTTGGATTTACACAGTACGTTGGCCACTAGGGACTTTCTTGCTCTCGACTAGCGGAAGGCTCACCCACAGCTCACACAACGATTGCTACGACCAAGCTGCAACAGAAACGACAGACGACAGCACGAAGACGGAGACGAACAACCAAGTTGAAGCGCGAGCAGGTAGACGGGGATATGTGGTATAACCCCAAACCGGGAAATTAGATTAGGATTGGATCAGGGACAGTAAGGCAACGAGCCTTACTGCCATGCGCGCGCACACGTGTCCTCCACGTGTACGGGACGCGTACTACACGTGAACTGTCAGCCCCGCCGGCTGACAGCGTTACGGTGTCGGTAGACCGGCACTACTGTAGAGTCGTGATAGACTACAATGTACATTAAATATGAGCGGACCGCCGGCGGTGGAGGACGACAAGCACGGACTTGTCAAGGATCCTCCACCTTGGTCCGCCCGCTTACCTTTAGGTACTCCCGTCCGTTTTACCTAGGAGTCGCACCGCGCGCTGGTTGAGGACGCGCGTAGCACGCCCACGAGCCGGCTCCGCCTCCGCCCGTCGGTACTGGATCGTCACCCAGTACCGCTCCGGGGCGTCGAGGCGTAGAACCGCTCGCGCGTGCGCGCGTCCTCCCCGATCCCGCTCTACCACCGCTACCTCGAGCCCGTGCTCGGTACCGTGGGTGGGCCGTGCTTCTGTCTTCCCGCCGATCGGGGTCTTTCCGAACTGTCAGTACTTACCCCCCTCGTCGTTGGGGGTGATTATACTACAGTGGTCTCCCGACCTAGAAGACTCGCAAGATCGAACCGAGAAGACTATCGTTTACCTCCGCGTCCGTACGCGTCGAGATGAGTGGCGAATATCCCACCTCGATTCGCTCGGAGCCCGGCCATGTGCGAGAGGCCGCGCTCTGCGTCCGAGTCGGCGACGGCGACGCTGGTCCTCGAGACCGCGAACCGTCGCCCGACTTCTCCGAAGGACGCGCTCGCGCGATGTACGATCGCATCGCGGAGTATATCGAAGATGTCCGAACATCCCTCCGTATCGACGTCTCCGACAGCGTCTACGCCCACTGTATGGATGAGTTGCACTCCCTCCGCGAAGGAAGGTTTGAGCGCGTAACTTAGTCCTTGGAGAACCTGCGCGCCCTCGTCGACCAGCTACAGTCCCGTTTGGTACTGGTCGAAGAGGCGCGCATCGGTTCCCCAGCCGTGGACGTTGCCGGTCGACCCGCGAGTGCAAACTCCGGGGTCCGACGCGACCCGCAACCCTTCCCATCAGCCGAACATATGGGAGCATTCGCGCACATGGCGGCGGAGCTCAACTCAACGCGCCGCCGTGCCCGTGAGATGGAACAGACCTCAGGGGAGAGGCCGCCCGGAGCCCCCTCGAGTGGACCCGGTGCCACTGTTCCTCCGGGCGCATCCGGAGCGCAGGAGTGGCCCCCGACTGGAGCCGTCACCAGTCGGAGGGCGGAGGACATCAAGCCGACGGCGGACGCGAACTTCGCGTCCGAGACTCAAGCCCAGCCGTATGCATCCGGAAGCATGCGGCAGTCCCGACGGGTACCGAACGAACCCGACAGTGGCCGTGGAGGAGTCGCCCGCGGATCAAGGGAACCGATTCTCCCCTTCGATCCTCGCTGGGGCGGCTACCAGCCAGCGGATCTTACCGCGCATCCCGGCCCCGTCGACGTCCGAACGTTGCCCGTCACGCCGTTCGGAACGTTGGGCCCCGCCGAACCGGGGCTCGAGCCCGTCCACACCATGATACAGGAGACACTCAGCGCCGTCGCGAACTACCGCATGTATCGGTTGGACAACACCTCGAGGCTCGTTACCTCGGGTGACGCGGGACGGATCGCGAAGTACGTCCAACGCTGCCGTGGGCTCCGTCCCACGATGAAGAGCTTCGACAGTACTGACGCGATTCAGTTACTCCCGTTCCTGAAGGATATCCGGATAACCCCCAATGCCCAGCACCTGACCGAAGGTGTGGCAGTCCGTGTCTTCGCTCACTTCCTCGAGCGAGACGCGGAGCGGTTGTATACGAGTTACACCATGCGCGGCCTCCGCGCCGGCCAGCTCCACGACGATACGAGCTGGCCTGGTCTCGTCAACTAATATATCAAACGCTACCTTACCGACGACGTGTTAGGGGAAGCGTTTTATGCTGTCGCGTCGTCGTGACAGCTTCCTCACGAACCCGAGAACACGTTCGCAGACCGGCTGGAATCCGCCGCGTTCCGATGCACGGCCGTGTTCTCAGAACAAGCCCTCGCGCACTACTTCGTGCGCGGGTTGTCCACTGCGACCCGGGCCGCAGTGGCAGAGACGATGCAAAGGTTGCCCGGACAACAGAAGACCGAACTCTCAACGATTCGCCGTATCGCAATGGCCGAGGTTACAACCTACCGCGCTCGTCGCGGGTTGCCGCTGCCGGACCCGAAGCCGGCAGGGAAGGGAGTCCGAACTCCAAGGTCGCACGGAACGAATTCGCCGGCGACCGCCCTCCACATTGGAGAAGATGAGTGGCAGGCCGACCCTGACCTCAGTACGCGAGGCTTCGACCGGGCAGGAGGCCGACCCCCCACGCCAGCTTCCACCGGTTCGACCGGAAGCTTCGCAACGGCGTGCGCGCACACGCCGAGGGCCACGGGTGGTCCGAACCACAACATGACCGAGCTGCATATCTCCCGTCGAGAACGAGACCGCGGG